GTAAACATATCAATACATGATAAGAAAATGAAGATTGTTTGGCTTAGCTTAAGCAATTAGACTACGAAACATGCCCATTGAGTCATAGAGAAGAGATAATTCAGCGAGAAAATTTTCTTTTTCCACGATATCCTTCTTCTAAAGCTGTACAATCGTATTTATATACATAACATAAATATATAACAGTCCATTATAAACAATAGGGTATAATAGCTACATCATTAACCTAGTGCTACAAAAAAACCGAATCAAGAATGCAAAGTAGTTGCGTAATAATCTATTAGACAGTAGTAGAAATATCGAGGAAGGCAAGGAGTTTGACAAGGTGAAAATTGTTGGTAGATAAGAAAGCCAAATATTGGGTGTCCACTTGATAGATAGATGTAAAGAAGAATGAGACAGGGGTCATAATGAAGGTGATAATAATAAACTAATTAATTATAATGAAATTGACAAGGAATTGTGAAAGGTTAAGACCATGGTAAGATGAGAGATTGAACATACTTCTTTTGCACGCAGAGATCAGGCTTGAATTATGAATTGCCAGTGCCTCCGCTGTGCACAACTGTCGAAGGCGTACTCCTTTTCAACTATTCCATCTGACACGATAAATGACATTGAAGGAAGATTCTGGCTGGTCTAGCTTTATGTCCTGAGTTGACCAAATGTTCATGAATTCAACTGTTAATTGATTTACATTCTCCCCTCGACAACCATGCAGGCAGGATAGTGCTCAGAGATACGTTTGGAAAGTGTGCGCTTTGTGCAGCTGATATTTCTACTGTCTTAGTCTATTGCGCAACTACTTTGCATTCTTGATTCCGGTGTTTTTTTTAGCACTAGGTTAATGATGTAATTGTACCCTGTTGTTTTATAATAAACTGTTATATGTTTATGATATGTATATAAATACCATTGTACAGCTTTAGAAAATGATATCGTGGAAAAAGAAAATTTTCTTCGCTGAATTATCTCTTCCCTTAAGCAATTATTCAACACGAATAAGCGTATCCATTACATTATATAGAGAAAAGATTTTGAAGAAATACATATTTCCATGAATTGATAATAATTAGATTTGTAATGATATTGTAATGCGTTCGTCAGTAGTTTACAAGCTTCTTCCTAGTCTATCTTCTACAAAGAAACCATAGTTTAACATCCCGGACAACATGTTAAATCCCATAACCAAATCACTACCAATAAAGCCTATACTTCAAGCTATACACTCATTGTAACTATTCATAAAATTGTTGTTAGATCTTGATATGAACTGTGTTTCATCCTTTTGTCGTTTTTGTACTTTTATTTTTGTTTCACTCTACTATTAGTTACTGTATTAACCTCTAGTCCATTCATACCGTTATAAGTCACGAAAGAGTTACTTTAGTATATCTAATTTGACTTATTCTGTTAGCCTACGTTCTGTTAAAACTTGCCAACTTTAACATGTACATTGTGATATAGATCAGACAATAAACAGAACAGACGATCCTAACGTATTGCTTCTAATTAATTCTAAATCTTTCACCTTCATTTATCCTAAGACATTGAAAGTCTTGAGAAAATTAGTGTGGCATTAGCGAAAAAAGCTAAATTCATGCAACCTAGGTTTATATATTCGAGTTGTCAAACCGAACCTCTGCATTCAGAAGGAAATGGCAGTCCGCTTGAATCTGCCATGGTAGGAAATACAACATTGTCTCTAATCATATTTAATCTTCCTTATTTGCTCTTCGCTATTAATTATCACCCATCAGATATTTTATTTTCCTTCCCTGATTTGTTCCGCCTAATCAACCTTTTTCCTATTGCCATTGCTATCATTATTATCCATCTCAATATACACCTGGTTTTCTTATTATGTCTGCATAAGTACTATTAACTATCTTGTTTTCAATGACGTAATCGACGCTCAATCGATCCAGTTCTCAACCCTGTGTCAACATTATTATTGTTATTATGATTATTTTCCTACCTGAAATCCACTATTATCCAAACTCAGGTAACCTATCCCCAACCCTTCATTCAGTTTTGAATATCCATTTCTATTCTTTGCATTACCATTTAACCCGTAGAAACTGTTCACCTCTATGTTGTTACACCTAAATCTATCTCAGTCTACGTTATATATGTATGTTCTTTTCCATTGCTTAACGGTATATGTAATCAATTATGTAGAGTATGCAGCTGACGAGTACTACTGATATGTATGAATTCACTAAATCCTGTTTTTTTTCACACTTGTTGCTTGTTTTAAATTTGTATCGGACAACAAATGTTTCCAAGTCATCAATGTATTCCTACGATGGAAGACTTTGTGTAAAGGTTTCTGCATCATGAATTAACTCATTCTAGAGAGGACTAGATGAGCATAGAAGTCTAATGGAAAAGAATTAATAGAAGCTCATACCTTTCTATTCTCAAAGCATAAGTCTGAAAAACGAATATCACACACCACCGCACATTCTATTGATGACTCGATAACTTGCAGCTTCATTCATCAAAGTATGAGCTACGCCACAGGAGTAAGACAAGGCTGTCTACTACCACCCATAATCTTCGTGATTGTGGTCGACTGGTCTGGATCATGCAGCAGACAACTGTGAGGAGCGAGAAGAGGGACATACGCTGGCTGGACCGATGAGAAAACCCCGGAAGAGTTGGATTTCGTCCATGATTATTTATGTATAATATCGCACAAACTCGAAGATCTATAGGCGAAAACTAACAAGTTGACAGAAGAGGCATGGCAGCGAAGACAGGACTTCAAGTGAACGTAGAGTAGACAGAGATGATGAAGATACGCTACCAAGAACAACAACAACCATCAGTTACCATTAACGGGAGAAACCTAAAGGAAGTGGTCTCTTTCACCTACCTGGCTAGGCAGCATCGTTTCAACTGCAGACTCCACAGACGAAGATGTCAGAACCCAAATCGGGAAGACAGCAAGACAGCCTTTCATTAACCTGAAATAATCAGTGTGGAGATCTACTGCACTGCACTCAGAACAAGGAACAAGATTAGGACTTTCAACACCAAAGTCAATTCAGTGCTGCTATATGGTTCAGAAACTTGGCGCGTCACGAAAAGCACTTCTAACAAACTACAGACATTCACCAACAACTGCCTACACTCGCTCCATAGTGAAGATCAGATGGATGGAGAGGCGTGCTACTGAAGCTCTATATTCCACTAGGAACCCAAGGGAAAAGTAATATGGTTATGATTGATAAATCTCAATTTTAGTGTTTCATGCTTCATGGTCGCTTAACATTGACCTGTGCAAGTAAACGCTGTCGCATGAATTTGATGCCAACTGTTGTAAATTGTGATTGCTTTTGACTCCTCAGGAAATGACTGTGCTGTGGAGCTATCCTTTTGAGAGGGGTATCTGCGAGAACCTCATCACCATGTTGTTAGCCCTACATAAGAACCACTCGAATAGGGTGAAAGCTAACAACCATCCATCTCTCCAGCTTCGCCATCAATAACCTTCTTTCAGGTAACTGTGAATGACGTTTATTGTGGTGTATGTCTGCCAACAGTGGGAAGACATTTCAACTTAGAATGTATGAATATATGCCTTTATTGTAGGACAATAAACAGGCTACTCAGTCGGCACTTAGTTAGCCGGTACTCATTAGTGGTAGGTGTAGTATATTCCTTTCTACGATTAGATGCAAAGTACTTTTACGAAAGTTACAGTGGCTTGTGTCTTTCCCTATCTTCCTAAGATGAGAGTTTTAGAGTATTTAAAACATTTTTCTGCTTGAACAGCTTTGTGAATGTTAGTGAACATATGTTCGACACGAATTTCAAGGATATTTCAAGAGCCAGGCTCATGTTTTGAAATCTAAAGCACTTTAATTGCCAAGACACTATGTTGTGTTCAAAAGTTTGGATGCATAACGCTTTTGCGCCATTGATTCTGTTCTACACCTGATCAATATGGCCCATACAATTGTTCCACGCCCAAACAATCCTGTTCTTATGACCATTGGTGTCTCTACAGGACTGCTCAAATCCAGTGGAAACACCATGTAAAAAATTTACTGTTACAGAAATGCATTTTCGAGTGCAATAGACGTCATTATTCTCTAGATGGTGCCATCCCATGATGCTGGCTTCAGCGGCACGTGGATTTTCTTCGCAACCTACACAAGCAGGTTTCGTACTGTCCACTATTTGATAGCCCTTGGAATGGAGAGAAAAGGTGGAAAGTTGGTGGCATGTGAACGAGCATAGTTGCACTATTTCAGCATCTCTTTTTATATCATATCCTTCAGAAGGGATCCCAAAAGATCAAGCCTATCAAGCCTATTAAATATGGATTAGAACTGAGATCAATATAGGCGGTGAACTAATTTTCTCACAAGTTTTGTTTTCGATATGGAAAGGAACTAATGCTTGTTAAATTTATCCAGTGGAATTTTTTTCTAGGCATTCCGCGATACCTTATCGCTCGCTTTTCTTTCTATATTTTTGCTACAATTTAGTATTGTTTCATGCACTGAACTTCTTGTTACCCACACTGTATCCATTTCTCGTCAAATAAATGAAAGATGAATTTCATAAAATTTTACTAGCATATGATAATCTATTGGTTCAATTATTTCTGCAGTTAAGACCAATGCCTACTAATGATATTTTGTAACGAATGCACTGCGTAACAAAGTGACAGAAATTTCGAAATTTGAAGTGTTGAACTTCGACTCACTATATAAACCGCAAAGCAGACAAACCAAGAAATGACAATGCTAGGCTCAATACCACATATGTTCCTAGGTATCTTTTTTTGAAGATAGATCCTTAAAGTAGAATGATATAACTAATTAGTTATATTCTGTTGCCATTATGCAAGCTATAGTAAAATGAAATGACTTTCTCTTCAACACTCCTCCATAAAAATTGGATATATAACCATTTGAAATATATTTAATATATAGTGATACTTGGTTGATATGGCAAACCATTAAACAAGCACATTTAACTACCTAAATTGGATTAAGGGTTATAAAGCACATTAATCTTTCCATCTTCAGTTTCTTGATATTTTTCCAAAGTAAGACGTCGCAGCTGCATCTATGCAACCATGGCAATAATAAGTGAAAAAAAAACTAGATAGTTATGGTTTACATTACCTGAAGATGTAATTTATTCGTGAATAATAACTTTTTCCATCCAAATAACTTTGCCAATTCTTCAACAGCATCACTTGGTTGCATTGATGTTGTCCTGGTATATATTTCACGCCATAATGAATCACTATTGCACATCTTGTTATGAATAATTAATTGAGGATTTGTTAAAGAATATGAAAACTACCTGGTTGAAAAATTTCGAAGTAATTCCTAAATTGACGATATCTTCTAAATTTAAATAAGAAATTATCTTGGCCAAAATTTCATATGGTAATCTAACTAGATAATCTAATTTTCCATCACACAGGTTTATACAATAGTCTAATGTTTCTTGTCCCATAACTCTGAGTATTTCACCTGTAAAACAATTAAAAACAAGTGGTAGTCAATTTATTAATGTTGACAATGATTCTAAGATCTTGCTTATTTTGAACCTTAGAGGTAGCCACAATCTAATTATTGTTTTCTCAAAAAACAAGATTGAGTCATTAAATAGTGCCAAGACATTAAATTTCACAGTAAGGTTCTAGGATTCAAAAGTCAAACAGACTGATTATGAGGAAAATTTTCCCAGTTCTTATCCATATTAAACATAGTCTTGACTTACCTTGCATACGATCATCGTGTTTAAACTCTTCATAGGTTGCAACATTTTCTCCCGGTCGATACTTTGCTCCATCATTTCTTGATGTAATCTTCCACCACCTCCATTTAATCTAGATAAATGAAAAATGAATATTATTGTGATTTATTATTACGTTAATCATGACTTACGAAATATAATTAACATCAGTTTCTTTCTGAAAAGGGAGTTACAATGTGATGTTTTAATAAAATGGAGGCAGATAAGCTTGTAGGTGCTTAATCTTTTACTTGTGAAATGAATTGTAGCTGGAATTTCTGAATTTCTTGCTTTGTGTTAAACAAATCATAAATTTCACTGTTTGTCTGTGTCGTTGCAGAATGAGATTCTGTTTACTGCTCACCTGTTTTTCCCTGAATGTCTGCATTAATGGAGAATCTCTTAGTAATTACGTCCCAAGCTAAGATAGTACAAAGTGACTGATAACGATGAAGTATCATTCAGTTATCTCATTTGATTCACAGTGTCGAAAATACTTTGATTCCAGTTTCATGTGGCGATTGTTATAGTAATTAGGGTTGACAAATGAATGCATTTAGTTTTGATATTCCACATACATGCAACATTTTTAGCCAATATAGTTGTGATAGTAAGCTTCCATAAGAATATGGGATTTTTACTAGATAATCCAGGCAATTTTGCCGAACGTTTTGTCCTTAATCCTTGTTCTGTGGTTTAATTCCCCCTTATATATTTTGGACGTCGTTCAAATAAGAAGGATCAAACCATGGAACGGTTTATGATTCAGAGAAGTAATTCATGTCCGATTTATCTCCGCATCGCATACAAAACCTGTTGACCTCACTTTTGTTCATCTCAGTCAGATTTTTGACTGGGTTACCCACTCGAGACCTCAAGAGGTTTTAAGATTGACATTGAGACTATAAACTGAACTAGGAACTTCTTTAGAAGTAATCAAGAGAGTAAGTATCCGCGGAGTTTTGTATTCTTGACAATCAGTAACAAGTGATATACCTCAATGAATCACTCGAAGTCCTTACTATATCCTTAGGAAATATCACTGGAAATTCAGCAGTATTGTCTTCCTTTTGTAGATAATGTCAGAACTCTTAGAAACTGTGCAGCGATGACGATACACTATCATAATAACAATAATTATACACCTTAGTGGGTTGGTCTAGAAAGTGAACCTAGATTTAGAATCCGGTTTGTTGTTTGAGGACAGAAGGCTGTGAATCCCCTTCCAGTACATTTCTGTTCCTGCCCAGTCCTCTTTCAAAACGAGTCAACTGATGACGTCTAAACTACTTATGATAGTCAGTTTCAGCAGCTGATTGCTTGACACGATAACTAGTGCTTTGTGGAGACTGCGTTCATTCTTTGCTCTTGTTTTTTCTTGCTATACCCTGTCAGGTGTTCCAACCTAGTGGAAAGAAAAGATATGCTAGGTTCAAAATCATTTCTCAGAAGCCTGTGTAGCATGTTTAAATCTATCTGCGGAAAGATAAAGAGAAGATGCTCAGCTCCCTAGGTCAATCTTCGTGGGTCAGGCCAGCCATCGCAGTGATTATACTTGTGGCTACCCCTTGAACTCTTTCCGGAACGTCTGTGTCACCTTTCAGACAAGGACTTGCGGCTTGTGTACAATTCCCTAGTTTAGGTCTAAACAAGGATCCGTTTAAGAGGGTGAACATATCACCACTTATTTTTGTAAATGTTTTGTGGAATGCCCGAAGTGTCCTAAAACTCCAAACTGCGATCAACTGATAGTTTGCAGAGCTTTTAAAATCCTAACTCACTGTGACTCCTAGGTCATTGTTGGACAGTAGTGGTAGTGGAAGAGTTTCGACGATATCGTAGGTGTCGCCATCTGTGTGCTACATGTGCGTGCTCCCACATTCATCTGCGATGATATGCATTAACCATTTCTCTCATCAGATAAACAAGCTGTTTAGGCCTGTCCGAAGTGTACGTATATCCTAGTCATCCCTAATTTCTAGCCAGAGTTTTACATCACCAAAGTAGAGAAATATGGTGAATTTCTTGTTGTTTACGGAAGAAGTAAACAAGGGTGCGGTTATGTATACTGTTCACTATAATTTGCATGAATAATTACCCAGGGGACTTATACTGTCAAAGGTCTTGGAGCATAGAGAAGTTGGAGTCGTTATAAGCCATGAAATTGGAACTATATAAAAATGCAGAGCATCAGGTTTTTAATTCCTATGGTCCAATGTAGGGTTTTTCAATCCTTTGATTAGAATAGTTCTAGCAGGAATTTTAAATTTTACTGTGATGGCTTCTGAGATAGTTGATCTTTGGTGGAGAGCAAAAATAAGATATATCAATTCCAATGTGGTTGGAATTATATTTGACAATTATAATTGTCAATGATATTTATATATATACTTTATATAAATGGAGTACTGATATGAAATCAACCGTATTCTGAGACAAAAAAGTCGAAACAGCCCTAGTCACCGTAAATGTTTCTAACAATATAGGCTTTGCCCACCAAACACAAAAACTTAGTGCTGGCTATCTGAATGCGGTCCAGTATTTATGGACACGTAGTTTCGGTACCTTCTATGGTTCTGTCGGGTGGGAACTGAATAATACAGTACTAAAATAGAAAAACTATCAGATGACTTCGTCTTTCCATACTTACTTCTGTAACTGAGATGCATTTACCAGAAAACATTAGATCTAGTAACATGACTCTGATCGGAACCTTGCACAAAATCTTAGTTCAACCCCACTAAGTAGACTCATTCAAAAGACAGTTGGACAGTTATGTCGTTTCGCACGGTTAACCATGGATGTACTCACGTAGTCACTAACCTCACTAGCTCACCATTTCTCTTCCACCTACCATTCACTATCTCTCTTCTTAACACACCCACATTATGCACCAACTCCTCTCTAGAAGCTAGACCTCTGCTATCTGCTTTTACCTTTCAAGTGATTCCCACACACGTTTTTTCTCACCACCTTACTGTTCTTATTCAGGCACCTACACAGACAGGAGTCACGACAGACCCCTAATCTTCCCAGCAACCCGTAGCTCCCCAACCACTCTGCAAACGGCAACTTACTAACCCACAAAACATCCACCTCACCGAAGCTAAAAACAAGAAAGCAGAGAAGGTTTTTTTTTCTCCACTGCAGGAGCAAACAGAACAACTGGAAACAGGCCGTAAGAACCAGACGTGAGAAATCAGACACTTTCAGTTTTCTAAGCTCGTACTGTTAATACTGGATTGGATTTTGGATATTGGAACACCTATGATGTATATCAAAAGGGCTTTAGAATATTGAAATAGCGTTGTTTCAATTTATTATCGTAACAGCTGGTCAGTTTGCATCATAGGTGAAATTTGGGTTAGTATGTACTAACCTTACTTGCCGTTATTAGTAGGTGGTGAAAGTCTTTAGACGGAGATGGAGCAATAGCCGCAAAATGCGCAATATTAGTTAGGTCAAATAACTTATAGTAAACGAATATTGGATTTTTGAAAACATCGAGCATCTATCGTGGAATTTTGAAACTGTTAATATTAGATTAGTTATGACAACGGTTTTCTTGGTGTCGTCTAACTTATCCAATAATCAATATCCAATATCTTTTTAACTAGCTTGTGCAAACTAATTGATTTCTTCGCGCTCGCTTCTTGGTCTTCCGGAACGGCTCCAGATCTTTTGGTGGATACCGATGTAGTAGGTCCGGCCACTCGTCTGCTATAGCTCTGATTTGCAAAACAGGAAGTTAAGTGTTGGTTTGTTTGCCTTGGACTGTGGTGCAGTTGGCTTCTTCAGATGTCAAGTTGCCAGACAGTTGTTAGGACTGGTCGCTAGAGAGGGTTGGAGATAGTGAAGAGAAAACCTGGAAAGTGTTTGTGTGAGTAAAAGAAGAGAGGAAAAGTGAACTAATGGGGTAATCTACTTACCCCCAAGCAAGGTGAGTAGGGGTGCAAAGGTGTGAAGAACTTATGTAAGTGAAGCTAACTTATGGCAAGTGGAAGAGGTGAGAAGGGACTAAATGGATACAATAGAAATAAAACTGCTTGGGGTGGCTTGACATCACTTCGTGTTCCAGCTATGTGTGGGTAGACCGTGAGTCTCTGCATGACTGTCCAGCCTCTTCTTGAAGCTTTCAACAGTTGGGGCGGAGACCACCTCTGCTGGTAGTGCGTTCCAGTACCCACAGACTCGGAGGGAGAAGAACTGTGAACGTACATGCGTTTTTGACCTCTGGTGTGCTATTCTATTGGGGTTTCCTCGAGGATCTCCGTAGTGGCCACTCGGTAGGACTCCTCTGTTTGGGTGACTTGGGTTACTCATTATTTTGTGAGCCATTATAAGTCGCCACGTATCCTTCGATAGCTAAGGAGTATAGACCTAGGTCTTTGAGTCTATCCTCATATGGTTTTCGTTGCATTCTAACAACCCTTTTCGTGGCTCGCCTCTGGACTTTCTCCAGTAAGTTCGCGCCTCTTTTCAGCTGTGGTGGAGCGAAGACGTTATGGACCTCTAAGTGGGGGGCATGTAAGTCTTGTAGAGCTTCAGAAAGAGTTCTGGGTGAAGCACCCAGTTGTCTACGCACAAAGTGTAGTACCCCATATGTTTTGAGACATCACCTGGGTAATTGGAACTGGTGTCCAGTTTCTCCGTCACCGTTAGACCCAGGTCTTTTTCTACTGTGGTATGGGATAGACGTGAACCACAGAGATAGTAGGAAGTTTTCTGGGATCAGGAGTGCGGAAAACATGGACCAGCACTTATCCAGATTAAATGCCAGTTCGTTATTAGTTCCCCATTCCTCTAGTGTTCTGAGGTCCTTCTGTAATGCCATAGATTCCGCCTGCAAGTTATTGCCCTCCATAACTTGACATCATCAGCGTATAGGAGAATCGGGGAGCGATATGTTGCGGCAAGTCATTTACGAACAGTAGGAACAACAGTGGCCCAAGATTGTTTCTTGTGAGACACCGGATGAGGATGTTCTCCAAGTTGAGTAGACCCTGTTGACTTTCGTGCAGAACTCCCTGTTGTCTAAGTAGTTCTGCAGCCACGATAGCACCTGGCTGCGAATACCTAACCCAGCTATCTTATGTATTAGGATATGGTGTGAGACGGTGTCAAAGGCTTTGGCGAAGTCCAGAAAATTACGTGGACCGGGACCTTGAGATCCCAGCATGCTGTCCAGTGATCATGGGCCGTCAGGAGGTTGGGGCACAGGACCTACCCTTCCGGAAGCCATGTTGAGCGTCACTGAGTGCCCGCTTGTGTCCAAGTATTCTCTGATAAGGTTGTCCATCACACTTTCCAATACTTTTGATATTACTGGTAGAAGTGCTATGGGTCTATAACAGTTGGATTCTGTCTATCCCTCCTTTGAAGATGGGAGAAAGGATAGCCCGTTTCCACTCTCGTGGGAGCTTTCGCTCATCCAAGGAGTGTTGGAAGAGGTTGCAGAGTGGGCCACCTAGGGTACTTGCACATTCTTTCTACACAGATGGGCGGATGTCGTCGCACCCTGGGGATTTTCCCGCGCTCGTCGAGAACAACAACGCGAGTCATCTGTATTTCATGTAACTCAGTAGCATCGGGTAACGCTGAAAGCTGTTTGTGCAATTGGTATGCGCACTTTCTTGATGGAATGTTGAGCTGTGTGTCAAACGTGGTGCTCAACATTTCAGCAATCTCCTGTCCAGAGAGGTTTTCTCCGTTCGGACTTTTTATGACACATGCTCCTTAGCTTGTCGATTTTCTTTTTGCCATGAATCGGTAAAGGTTTTTAGGGTTTGCCTCTAGCCTCTCGGCGAGGTTGGACTGGAACGACCTCCTGTCTCCCGCATCCTTATGTTGCTTCGATTCCGTAAAGTCATGTATGCGTTATGTTCATCTTGTTCTCTAGAGAGTCTCCATGTGTGCCATGCCCTTCTCTTGGCTTTTAGAAGGCGCTCAGTGCACCGTTTTAGCCATGACGTTCGCTTTCTGGTTGTGGTTACCGACAAAGGGACGTTTTGCGAGACGGCCGCCCTAATGATATCTTTTGCCAGTTCCCAGTGCTGGTTGATCGAAAGGAACACCAATCCACTGGCCACGAAGCTGTTGAAAGACTCTTGTTCATTCCTTCGTAATTTGCCTTGTTGTAACATAGGTAAGGGCGAGATCCCTCCCATGATAGCTCTTCACTAAATACCAGGTCGAACATTACCGTAGCGTGATCGCTACTTCCAAGAGGGGTTTGTACCTGAACGTTTTCAACCGGAAGGGGATCACTAGTCATTCGGTAATCCAGTTTAGATGGTTTACCATCTGACCCCCAGCGGGTTTTGTCGCTGATTTTTTCCTGCAATCCAGCCATTTGGATGGCGTTTAGCAGGTTACAGTCGAACTTCCGGCTCGGGGTAGTGCCACCTTGCTCTAGGCCGAGGGTTGGAGTGTTGAAGTCGCCAGCTGTTAAAACCTGGTCGTACCCTATAGTTGACACTGTGGATATTGCTTGGAGTAGTTTTTGGTTGTGCTCCAAGTTGCTATTGAGGATCTATGGATTTAACTAGGAATTTGGTGTGTTTGACCATAAATGGCACCGGATAGAGTCTGGGAGCTGTATCAGTGCCGTGTCAGTGGTTTGTTCGCTTCTGAACCACTTGCCCACGTATATTGCAACCCCCCCTCCGTCCCTATGTTCTCTGTCTCTCCTGAACAGAATCATATCATCTATGTTAACTTCGGCATCAATTATGTCCGGTGACAACCATGTTTCTGTCAGGATCATGATTTTCGGGGCGAGGTTGAGACAGAGGGATCGGAGCTCTGGCATTTTACTTCGGAGTCCCCTCACGTTGCTGTGGAGACACTTGGAGGCGTTTCTCGTAACGTGAGATGTCTCTGAGTTAACCGGTGGCAATGGTTTGGATGTGCGGGTTTCTACTGACTGGCCAGTTCCAGCGGAACTGGCCCAGTTAGGTTTTTTCCCTCGTCGACTGGTGCATTCGGTGTTGAGTGGAGGTTGCTGGTCTGACCCTCAACGTTTCGGTTTAGGGTTACGGTGGCCTGGGGACAGGGCGTAACTGCTGTCTGTTGTTGTCACAGTGTTCTCGGTCTGCTTTCACAGCAGCGAACGTTACCGCTTATGGTGCTCTTGACTTTGTACCACGTCTGCAGCACTCTGGTGAGTACTTCTGGGGATTCGAGGTTGACAGCCATTAGTCTAGGTGAGGTCACGGTTGTCAGATGCAGAAGGCATGGTAGTCTGCTGATTGTCGCAGCTGCAACCCCGCTCGGCTCCATTCGATCCGACAACGGCTCCCATTGTTTGACGTCGCGTTTGTACTTCTCACCTGGGGTACCGGTCGCCACTTCAGATATTTCATGTACGCTCATGGCTGTGGGTTTTTGTGGACCAGCTGCTTCTCGAGATGTCTTTCTTGACACCCATGATCGGTCAGGTCTGGCCCTAATGTTGGACGGTCTGTTGATGACCAGGGTGTGTGACAGTAAGAGGAACTTTTCGGCGTCTCTAGTTGAGCCTAGAGTCACTCTCATCAGCGGAGGCTTCCCTGTGGGTGAGTGGGTGCCTCGAAAACGCCCAAACCTAGCATGGCACAGAGGGAATCCCACTGTTGCCTGTCAAACTTGTCCCTATGTTCCGGAAGGCCATCGTCACAGACGGGAACGTTAACCAGAATGACAAAGCTAGATCGGTCACTGATGCCAATATTATTCCATCCTATGGGTGCTTTGAGTTTTTTTCCACCTTGACCCGTTCCTTATGTTGTCCTCTGGATGCTGTTTCTGGTGTGGCTCCATGGCTTGAGGTGGGTGCAGTTGTCTTTGATGTAGGCAGTGCTTTGTTCGGCTTAGAACCTCTCGGGTTTTTGGCCTTCTGCAGGCCGTTGCCAAAATCATCTGGAAAGTGGATTTCCTCTGTGACAGTGGTCTGGACGGATACCTGATTTTTGATTACCGGAGATTTGATTTCTTTTTGTTCGATTCTTGATCTTGCAGAACGGTTCCAGGTCTTTGGCAGATTCCGATTCAGTAAATCAAGCCGCTCACCTACTATTACTCTGGTATACAGAAGAGGTTGTGTTGATTAGTTGGCCTTGGGCTATGGTGCAGTTGGCTTCTTCAGATTTCGAGTTGCCAGACGGTTGTTCGGACTGTTCGTTAGGGAGTTAGGGGTAGTGAAGATAAAACCCAGAGGGCGAATTTGTGTGAGGGAAAGGAAAGGTGAACTAGCGTAGTAATCTAATTACACCCAAGTAAGGCGGGGAAAGTCTAAAGATATGAAGAACTTAGGTAGGCGAGGCTATTTCATGACAAGTGAGAGAGATGAAAAAGGCCTAAATGGTTACAATAGAAAGAAAGCTTGTGTAGAGGTAACAGTCTGAATGGCGTAACAGCAGTTCATTTCTTCTGTTCAGTTTGTATTCCAGGTACATGTTCGTGCACCATGGGTCCTTGGGTGACTGTCTGGCCTTTTCTTGAAGCTTTCAACAGATGAGGCGGAGACTACTTCTGCTGGTTTCACATTCCAGTGCTCGCAGACTTGGAGGGAGAAGAAGCATGAACGCACATAAGTTC